CCTCTTATAAATTGACAAGACGACAATTGCGGCAGGATTTTTTGTAGGAAAAGATTCTTGTATATGTTTATTTATTTATTTTTGCAGGGGGGTTCTTGTATATATTTATTTAAGCACAGCTCTTTCAGATCGATCGCGTATGAAATCTGATCTTCCTCCTAGTTTTTTTTTTTTTGCATGGGATCTTCCTCCTAGTTTATTGGGGTGGTTGCCACTTGGGGCAGTATAATATCTGGTGGTCTCTAATAAGTTCTGGCGTAAGTACAATTTTCATATGAACAGAATAGAACTACTAGCATCTCAATCTTCATGATGTTAATGATTGATGCTACGACTAGCATCGCAATTTTCATGTATCGATTGGCTGTCGGAATTCGGAAAATATGCACTACTGCCCAGCAGCCAGCAGAATTGTTTTATTGTGCATTCAACCAAAAGAGTTGGTTATTAAATGTAGTGCCGCTGTCATGACGCTGGGAATATTTGATGCTAGTTATTAGGAAGACAAAGCTAAACCAACCATCCTCTTTCATCATAAACAAAGTGAAACAACCCTGGCAATGGCAAGGGGCCACTTGGCTCAATCAACCATCCCTTTCATACACCGTTCCGTAATCTAGACCAACCAAAAGACAACTTCCAACTTCTCACGACAAAACTTTTTTATTTACTAAAGAAAACAGGTGAAAACAAGCGCAGGCTTCTTTGGTATCAAAAGAAGAAAAAGTGCAGGGTTTTTTTCTGAAGGCAAAAACAGGCGAAGGTTTCTAGCAACTCATATGCAAACTTCCTAGCACCCTGCAAATATTATGATTCCTATTGTAATAGTCTGCTTGAATTGGAAAAATACCAGCCTGACAAGTGTTTTGCCTTGCTTTCATATGAATTGTACAGCTAAAATGAGATCATCCAGGCTGTATCATAAAAAGGATACACCTCTGGCGAACAATAGTGTTTTAATGTCAGTTGATTGTCGCTGAAAGATATGCGCAAAACGGAAGCTTCAGAATGCAGAGGTAGGCACACTTGTAGGTGCAAGAATGAACAGTAGACAAAGTTACACATTGACAGTGAGAAAATGTTCCCACTCTTTTTGGACTAGGAAAGCCTACAGATTTCCTGCATTGAGTAAATACAATGAACCCTAGGCCGAGCAATCTATCTGTTTCCCCTCTTCTTCTATTTTGACAAATTGTACAGGTCAAATCCCAAGCATGCAGGACTACCGTGCTTGGGATTGCAGTTTGCCTACAAAAATCGTTTATTATTAACAGAACTGCCCAAGTGTTGCTGCATGATGCTGCTACCCTGCGAAAATTCAGAGTACCACGACTTCCACGCATCCACGTAGTGAGCAAAGAGGTCACCGAGTGCTGCATTCAGAAAAAACGGGGAAAAACTGTCAGTATTTTGACATTATAACGGGGAAGATTCAATGTCTCATACTGATCCACATGAAAATGTCAACTACAAGCTTTTTTCCTTGATAAATTCTCAAAATAGGTCAGAGCTCTGTAATTGATGGAAAATAATAGAATTGGCCAAATAAATACTATAGTTTATTCTAGTATCTTCTCAAATACGAGTAGCTCATTGTGAAAAACAATGAGCTTGCTTCCAGAGAGGCAGAGAGCTCACATGCTATCTCTATGAGTCTAACATGATTTCCAAAATCAGATAGATATGCATACTCATATATGTATGGAGCTATGAGCATCTTCTTTCGCACTGGAAATTATTCAGAAAACTACCACTTGCATAGACCGAGTCTACTAACTAACACCGACCAAAATATTACAGATACCAAATTATGAGCAGCCGTGAAAATCTTGTATGGGTGTAATACTATTTCTTACATATTTCAAATAAGCATCTCATACTACAAATACAGCATGATTTGTTTCATTTGGAAGGTTGATTCTGAATAACATGATTCACTTAATATGGCATATTTCTTTTTTTTTGAAAGAAAAAGGCAGACCATTATCTGCCTCATGCATTCAAAACAAGCCGTAGCCCGGATGACCAGAGGTCAAATTACATGGGGTTGTTGGAAGCAAAAAGTTTCCACACTCTTCGGTTTATAGTTAAGAATACAAGGGGAGAAAAAAAGAGAATGAGGGGAGCAACAGCAGATATCAGTTGGTATGCATGACAAATAAGAAGCATAGCAACCAAAGGCATGTCAGGGAAAATTCAGTAGGCCTCATGCTGTAACTTCAGCTAGATAGGTAGTCATACTGTAATTCCTATTTCCAGCACAATCAACGACAAGTATTTTCCTATCAGAAATTAACATCTGCAGTGACAAAGTGATTGACTTCTCATCATCTAAAAAAGTAAGCAACTTTCTACTAAGGAACAAAACCAGACCAAAGAAGTGCTGATAAATACCAACCTGGGTTCTGGTACTGCGGTCGAAATGAATCGGCAAGGCTCTCCCAATCATGGGCAATCGCCCTTTGTCCAACATTATTACAGTCATCAGGCTCCTGTTTTCTTGCACAAGAAGGGTGGAAAGGCCCATAAACAAAACCACTCTTGTTAACCTGCCCGGGCTGCTTCTGCGCGGCCACGTTGTAGCTCTTCAAGATATCAGCACCGCCCTGTGCCAGCTTCGCTTTCTTCTGGGTTGTTGGTTCCAGCTGGCTTCTGTTTATACCAATGTTAGTGAGTTCAGTTCCAAAGACTCTCTTGTTTGACAGAGTCTTCCTTGCTGGGGATGCAACAATTGTGACACCATTTTCTGCTTTTGGTTTCCCTGCCATGCCCAACCACCGGAATGCAGGCTTCCTTGTGTCCACTTGTGTCTGCGTGAAAAGATTCGAGAACAGATTCAGGAACTTCGCTTATCATTTAGGTGCAAATAACATTTTTAAGACCATGCAGGAGAGATGCATGTATATATGCTGAGTGCAGCTGACATACTTATGAGCTATTTATTTTGTAACAGCATGCATACCTTCTCAATGAGCTTCAGTGAAGACAGCACATTAGCAATGTCATATAATCTCCGGACTTTAGCTGTAGCATAAACATAAGACATACTATTAGCTTTTGTTTGGATTGGTATTCATACTAGTACAGCTGAAGAACTACGCCGAGGAAATAGTACAAATACTAACTTCTCATATTGGACTCCTCATGGCCTTCCCCAAGGAGGAACTTTGCAGCTTCATCAAGTGAGATCGTGCTAACCTGCTGGATGCACAGATTTCATACCAATCAACAACAGTTCCACAAACCATAAATCTTCATCATCAAAACAGAAACAAGGAAATGCAGAATCTCCCACCTCCATGGTAAGGAACAGCTTCACAAAATTTTGAGTGAGCAACCCAAGAGACTTCTCCTTCCTATGATCTGAAGATGTGACAACCAAAATTCAAAGCCTGGCACGACAAAATGAGACTAAAACTATACAGCAAGCCAGCGTTAGAGCGGATAAGCAGCCATACCAGATCTCAGCCGGCAGGGAGGTGCATCAGGCATGTCAGAAGGATTGTCAACTGTTTGGCTCAGCTTCTCGCCCTCCCTTTCGGCCTCCGGATCACCCAGCTTATCATCGTCTTCGTCATCAGACATCTTTACAACATCAAATGGAACAAGGAACAACATAGTCAGGAACTACATTGTTCACGGGTACCACATGGATAGATGCAAAGGAAAGATGCAGACAAGAAAGCATACATTGGCAGCAGATAGCTCCTCCGCCGGCAGAGGAGCCAGGCCAGACTTCTCTCTCAACGCCCTCTCCTGATGAGCAAATACAGGCAGACAAAAGACCAGAATTGAGATGGATCACACTGACATTTCTCGGTGGAATGATCACATGGAAACCAGATGCAAACCTTGAGTTCTCGCAGCGCCATCGGGACCCCTCCGAAGCCTATCCAGGAGTAGCGGTTCTTGGCCTTCCTCGCGAGGATCTACTCTCAGGGGATTGATTGAAAGCAGAATTCAGAACCCCATGAATGAAGATATACTACGAAGAAGTCTATCCGGGAACAGGCAGAAGGATGAGAGGAGGAAGAAAGGGCTCACCCCGACGCTCTCGAGCACGTTGACGATGTCGTAGATCCGGCGCCTCTCGACGCCGAGGCGCCTGGACGCGTCGTCCAGCCCGATGGACTCCACGCCGTCCCGGTCGTACAGGGCCACGAAGCTGCAGGGGCACGCGCACGAGAATTGTGTAAGGGAAACGCAGATCTCTCCACGCGCCAGGACGGATACGGTCATACGGACGCGAAGGAAAGATGGGTGGCACTCACTTGGAGCAGAGCAGGCCGAGCGACTTCTGCTTGCGGCTGTAGGCGTGGTGGCGCAGCCTGGCGCCCCCGCCGCGCTCGGCGAACAGCGGCAGCGGGTTCGGAATCGGAAGCCGCGGGAGGGGCGCCGGCGCCGTCGCCGTCGTCTCCGCGGCTGTCGAAGAGGGGGGCGCCGCGGACATCGTCGTCGCCGCCGCCGATCCGCGTGCGGGCAGAGGCAGGATCTGTGTCGCGCGGCGTGGCGTGGTGGGTGGTATCGGATCGGAGGAGGGAATTGCAATTGTCGCGGTGTTATTATAGACA